GCCTCCAGCCAATCACTGGAGCTCCTCCACACGCACGCCGCCCCCAGCCATTCACTGGAGCTCCTCCACACACACGCTGCCTCCAGCCAATCACTGGAGCTCCTCCACACACACGCCGCCCTCAAGCCAATCACTGGAGCTCCTCCACACACATGCCGCCCTCAAGCCAATCACTGGAGCTCCTCCACACGCACGCTGCCCCCAGCCAATCACTGGAGCTCCTCCACACGCACGCTGCCTCCAGCCAATCACTGGAGCTCCTCCACACACACGCCGCCCTCCAACCAATCACTGGAGCTCTACATTGACCATTCTGCTGTTTGGCCCAGCATCAGAGCCCGTCCTGTTTGTGCTGCACCCGACCTGCTGCCTGTATGTTCAAGGCTGGTGGCCTCCGCAGGGCCCAGAGAGAACCTAGCTGTTCCCTACCTTCCACCCGCTGCCAGCCTCTCTGTAGTAAGGGAAATTGTCACAGATCCACTGGTAGATCTCGCTCAGAGTCATTTTCTTCTTTGGAGAGCTGTTGATGGCAAAGGTGATGAGGCTGGCGTAGCTGTAGGGCGGCTTGCCGTCCTTGTGCTGCTGCACCTCCTCCTGGTCCAGGGTGGTGTTGGGGTCCAGCAAGGCGCCCTTCTTGGCCATGCCCGGCCCGTGGGCGTTCTGCGCCGCGTCCGCCTTCTGGATGGCCGCCCTCATGGTGAGCTGCGGCAGCCAGTCCATGGAGGTGAGACTGCTCTCCAGCTCCGACGTCATGGCTGCGCCCGGCGAGGTGCTCCACAGGGCGAGGGAGAGCGAGCGAGAGGAGAGGGCGCCCCCGAGTCACAGTGTGCTGGCCGCTGCTGCTGCTGCTGCTCCTGGGTGCCTATGCCAACGGCAGTCTGAAAAGGCAAAGGGCAGAAACAGAGCTCTTAGTCCCACTGGCCACTCCCTGCCGAAAGACCAGCGCTGCTCCTGTTTCCCCGTACAGACCTCCACCACCGACAGTAAACACAGGAGGGGGTGCAAGTGTCTATTTCCCACAAATTATGCAAATCATCAGCATTTGAACACGCACTGATTACTTTTATTACATAGTGTAGACTGCGACCATGTGTGAAAACGAACATTTAACCCTAATTCGACACTGCAAGGGAGCTGTACAGTTCAGATTAATTTCTCCTCCATTCAGATGAATTTCTGACTTAACTTTATCAAGCAGCAAATTTCAACCAATCCTTTCCTATAGTGCGCTGTCCTCAGAGTGGGGTCTCACTAACCCCACACTGCAGCACACATCTGTGTCTCTGTGTGGAGTGCGCTGTCCTCAGAGTGGGGTCTCACTAACACTGCACTGCAGCACGCAGCTGTGTCTCTGTGTGGAGTGGGCTGTCCTCAGAGTGGGGTCTCACTAAC